TGATGGTCGGGGGAGGGGGGGTTGTCCACAGACTTTTGGCCATATAGTGTTGGCCAGAACGTCACCAAGTTCAAACATTTTTACAAAAACGTCACTGAACTTTGGGGCAACTGCTCATAAAGTCCAAACTGATCCCCTTTTTCTGGATCAGACTTTTGATTCGGTTTTCGTTTCCAGATCCTGGTGGTTTGAAAGCCAAAAGATCGCAGTGCCGAGCCAGGCACATCGGTTTCTGACAAGGAGACACAAGTCTATACCACAGACCACAATTGTCTTACACTTAGAAGTGCTGAATAGATAAAATATAGAACTTTATTATCTACACGTAGACATTCGGTCTACACATAGATCTCAGACACTTAAATAGAGAATAACACTCAGCTCAGTCGCTGCCAATATTGTGCAAATAAGAACTCGGCCCCTCTAGCACCAAATCAGTGTCAACTGCCAAGACGGTGAGGGACCATGTGCTGCCCAGTCATGTGACAACATAGGGCAGGCCAATCATTTTTTTTTCCCCATGCATGTTCCTTCAGCCACACAGATCACAAAGGAGGAATGTAGCATGAGCTCTCTGGGGGGGGGGACAGACATGACATGTTCTTCTGGGCGCTCCCCCCATCTTGCTATGGACCAGCTTACCATGTCAATCATTAAGTGCTAAGAACATCGGGAACAAAGCAGCTGTCAGGAGCTCCCACCGGGCCGAAGGTGCAAGCCTGGAATAATCGATGAGGGTGGAGGCAATTTCATATTATTGGCCTGGAACACCAACTCCATATTATTGGCCATGGGGGTGGAGGCAACTCCATATTATTGGCCATGGGGGTGCAGCCAACTCCATATTATTGGCCATGGGGGTGGAGGCAACTCCATATTATTGGCCATGGGGGTGGAGGCAACTCCATATTATTGGCCATGGGGGTGGAGGCAACTCCATATTATTGGCCATGGGGGTGGAGGCAACTCCATTCTATTGGCTTGGGGACACCAACTTCATATTATTGGCCATGGGGGTGGAGGCAACTCCATGTTATTGGCCTGGAACACCAACTCCATATTTGTGACCATGGGGGTAGAGGCAACTCCATTCTATTGGCTTGGGGACACCAACTCCATATTATTGGCCATGGGGGAAAGGGCAACTCCATATTATCAGGGGCCGAAGGTGCAAGCCTAGAATAATCAATGAGGGTGGAGGCAATTTCATATTATTGTCCATGGGGGTGGAGGCAACTCCATATTATTGGCCTGGAACACCAACTCCATATTATTGGCCATGGGGGTGGATGCAACTCCATTCTATTGGCTTGGGGACACCAACTCCATATTATTGGCCATGGGGGTGGAGGCAACTCCATGTTATTGGCCTGGAACACCAACTCCATATTTGTGACCATGGGGGTAGAGGCAACTCCATTCTATTGGCTTGGGGACACCAACTCCATATTATTGGCCAAAGGGGTAAGGGCAACGCCATATTATCAGGGGCCGAAGGTGCAAGCCTAGAATAATCAATGAGGGTGGAGGCAATTTCATATTATTGTCCATGGGGGTGGAGGCAACTCCATATTATTGGCCTGGAACACCAACTCCATATTATTGGCCATGGGGGTAGAGGCAACTCCATTCTATTGGTGTGCTAAGAACATCTGGAACAAAGCAGCTGTCACCGGGCCGAAGGTGCAAGCCTGGAATAATCAATTCTTATTGACTCATAAAAGTGCAGTGAATGGTCTCCAGCCATCTGACATAAAGGGGAATTTCAAGGGACAGATAATAATAATCACAACACCCGGGAACGCCCTCATCTCAGAAGAAGACATTTTCACCTGTTATTGATTATCTCAAATACACATCTGTTGGCACGTCAATGGAAGTCAGGGGAGGACTGGGCCAGGGAAGTAGGCATTTGCCCCTCCAAGGACAAGACTAATGAGATAGGATGGTGGCCCTGAGTGATAATACTTGACATTGGTCACAGGGGGGAACCCGCAGTGACACGTGCTGGGTGTCACATAGATATCCATTTTCTGTTCAGAGCTGCAATAGCAGCATCTTGTAGAAGGAATTCTTCCAGCACCATCTTCCTGGCCACCTGTGAATCACCAGGCTTATGCTGTCTCGGGACCTTCTTGGGCATACACTGGGTCTACCATAGAATGGCCACCTATGAACCACCAGGCTTATGCAGTCTCTGGACCTTCTTGGACATACACTGGGTCTACCACAGAGTGGCCACCTGTGAACCACCAGGTGGCTCTGAGATGTCATGAGACCGTATGCCAAGAAGCCACGATGGAAGCCCATGCTGGAACATCTAAAGGTGTGTCACCATAACCCAAGTCATTCATGGACACCCACCTATCCATGTGGCACCATGGCACTTTGTCGGAAGGTTCCCAGTCCTCCCCTGGTGGAAGTCATCATATTATCATACAAAGCCTGGTGCCATGACCCAACAATTGGTGAACACTTAACCAAACAAGGTGACATCAGATGCACGCTGGTAAACATAACAAGAGATGGACACATTGGGGTTAATAGCAGTCATCCTGTGAGCGTTAGCCGTGGAGAGAGTCTGAGAGGTGGGTGATGGGAAGTACATAATACGCTTAGTCCTATAGGAATGAAGCATTCTGACGGCAAGGATCCCAGAGCCAGGCCACCAAATATATCTGTGAGTGCCGGGGCCTGCTGGCTGGTAAAGTCAATGATTGAAGAAATTCCTTGGCTTCTTTATGGCTTCCGCAGGCTCCTGTATGACTCCTGATCTGTATATCCAACTTGTCCATTCCTGCATTGTGTGGGAAAGGCGTCAGGACACCACAGGCTGTGATTTGTTGGCTCTTCCACATCTCCCTCATATAATGATAGACATAATGGGAACTCAATCTGCCTTGCTTAGGTGTGAGAATGACCAGGCACCCCCCCCCACTATCACCCCCCGACTGACATGTTTCAGCATTCCATGGGCCAATTTCAGGAGCCACCGAGCACATCTGGAAACGTGAGGTGCTCATTATCACTTGGCAAGATGGAGGAATGTTTCCTACTTCATGGCCCTCCTAAGACACGGGAGAACACGGTGTGGCTGCACCTGCACCACATTCTGCCGTACCATGGTGCCACCTGGAGCTCAATGAAAATGGGCGACTCTAGAAAGCCTCAGCTCCTTGAAGAAGAGGACCTGTCATATTATTGCCTTTTGCATGAAGGACGTGTAGATGTTATGCGATTGTCCCACAATGAGTCTCTTCTGTTCACAGTATCTGCAACCTGGGAGGTCTCTCTCTATACTCTGGGGGGGGGTTCTGGGTAATAAAAGCAAAGTCTTCATAATACAAATGGAAGAAGAGTAAGCCATGACTCACTGCGCTGACGTTTAAGCTTGGCACACTGCATTCCCTTTACACTCTTCAGTTTACTGACCACTATGCACTTTCTTTGCCTGTCTGTGACATATCGGTGATGATATCATGCAGATAGGGGTCTATGGGTGATGCTCTAACCTTCGTTGGAACACATCTGTAGATGTCATCCTGTTACTGGTGGTGGGCATCTAGCTTGGCATTGCAGCCAACAGGTCATCGTAAAGGCCACATTATGATTCGGTTTCTAAACTAGCTTAGGATCAAGGGAATAGGCAAGAGAAGTGTAACCAACAGTAATCTTGGGACCTTCTTGGAAGTACACTGGGTCTACCATAGAGTGGCCACCTGTGAACCACCAGCCTTATGTAGTCTTGGGACCTTCTTAGAAGTACACTGGGTCTACCACAAAGTGGCCACCTGTGTTATGTAGTCTTGGGACCTTCTTGGACCTTCACTGGGTCTACCACATAGTGGCCACCTGTGAACCACCAAGCTTATGTAGTCTCGGACCTTCTTGGAAGTACACTGGGTCTACCACAGAGTGGCCACCTGTGAACCAGCAGGCTTATGTAGTCTTGGGACCTTCTTGGAAGTACACTGGGTCTACCGTAGAGTGGCCACCTGTAAACCACCAGGCATATGTAGTCTCTGGACCTTCTTAGAAGTACACTGGGTCTACCACAGAGTGGCCACCTGTGAACCACCAAGCTTATGTAGTCTTGGGACCTTCTTAGAAGTACACTGGGTCTACCACAAAGGGGCCACCTGTGTTATGTAGTCTTGGGACCTTCTTAGAAGTACACTGGGTCTACCACAAAGGGGCCACCTGTGTTATGTAGTCTTGGGACCTTCTTAGAAGTACACTGGGTCTACCACAGAGGGGCCACCTGTGAACCACCAGGCTTATGTAGTCTTTGGACCTTCTTGGAAGTACACTGGGTCTACCACAGAGTGGCCACCTGTGAACCATCAGGCTTATGTAGTCTTGGAACCTTCTTAGAAGTACACTGGGTCTACCACAGAGTGGCCACCTGTGAACCACCAGGCTTATGTAGTCTTGGGTCCTTCTTGGAAGTACACTGGGTCTACCACAAAGTGGCCACCTGTGTTATGTAGTCTTGGGACCTTCTTGGACTTACACTGGGTCTACCACAGAGTGGCCACCTGTAAACCACCAGGCTTATGTAGTCTTGGGACCTTCTTAGACGTACACTGGGTCTACCACAGAGTGGCCACCTGTAAACCACCAGGCTTATGTAGTCTTGGGACCTTCTTAGACGTACACTGGGTCTACCACAGAGTGGCCACCTGTGAACCACCAGCCTTATGCAGTCTCTGGACCTTCCTGGAAGTACACTGGGTCTACCGTAGAGTGGAATCCACAAGCAATGCGGACCTTCGCTTTCATTGGACACCTCTGAACCACCAGTCTGCAAGCAGTAATCCCCAGCAGTATATACAATGCAGACATGTTCCTGGTCCTGTTTGAATTCCCAGGCACACATCTCCTGGGCCACCAGCCGAGGGTACCGCTGCTCTATCGTGTAGTAACAGCTCTCCAAATCCACACCGGCTTTAGACGTAATAAAAGAGCAACACTGAAACTCAATAAAAAGCCATTCATTTTGACCCTACAATCCAATGCCGTGGATCTTTTGGTGCGTGGTCAGATTCTGCTTGTGCCGGAAGGTTTTGCCGCAGTCGTTGCATTGGTAAGGTCTTTCTCCGGTGTGGGTGCGGAGATGCGCAATGAGGTGGTGTTTCTGGATGAAGCTTTTGCCGCACTCGGAGCAGGTGAAGGGGCGTTCTCCAGTGTGAGTCTGCTGGTGGCACTTGAGGTACTCCCGCTTGCGGAAGCTTTGCCCGCAGTCGTTGCACTTGTACGGTTTTTCCCCGGTGTGGGTGCGACCGTGGATCTTCAGGTGCTCGCAGGTGCTGAATGTTTTTCCACACTCACTGCAGATGTAGGGGCGTTCCCCGGTGTGAGTTCTCTGGTGCCTCACCAAGTGCTGCTTCTGGATGAAGCCCTTGCCGCAGTCGGTGCAGGTAAACGGTCGCTCCCCGGTGTGGATCTGCTGGTGTCTCTTCAGGCAGTCCCGTTTGTGGAACGTCTTCTGGCAAGACTCGCACTTGAAGGGCCTCTCCCCGGTGTGGGTGTGAAGGTGGAACTTCAAGTGCTTCAGGAAGCGGAACATTTTGCCGCACTCGCCGCACTCAAACGGCTTCTCTCCCGGTGCTGGCCGCTGGCTCTCGCTGTTCTCGCTGTCTTCATCCCGGCACTGCCCGGTCTCCTCGTCCTGGGCCTTTTTATGGGCTTTCAAGAGTTTCTGGGACTTGAAGGTCCTGCCGCAGTCTTCGCACTTGTTGGGCCGTTGACCGGTGTGGAGGCGGCTGTGTCTCTTCAGGTGCTCGTACGTGGTGAAGCTCTTTCCGCACTCGCTGCAGATGTGCGGGCTGCCTCGGCAGTTGCCATTGGCGGAGTTCGGATAGGGTAACTCTTCCACAATGACCACAGTGAACGGTCGCTCGCCGGAATGGGTTCTCTGGTGCCGGATGAGGTGATGTTTCTGGATAAAGCCCTTGCCGCATTCCTCACAGGAGAAAGGACGTTCACCCGTGTGGATCTGCTGGTGGCGTCTCAAGTGTTCCCGCTTACGGAACCCCTTGCCGCAGTCCTCGCATTCGTGCGGCTTTTCTCCGCGGTGCAGCTTTTGGTGGAACTTCAGGTGCTTGAAGGTTCGGAAGCTCTCGTCGCACTCGTTGCAGCTGTAACTGGTCTCCCCGGAATGGCTCCTCTGGTGAGCCATGAGCGTCTGCTTGTGCCGAAACCGCTTGCCGCACTCTTCGCACTTGTGGATGCGTTCACCGGTGTGTGTCTGTTGGTGGACCTTCAGCACCCGGTGGGCTCGAAAGCTCTTGCCGCAGTCCTCGCACTTGTAGGGGCGTTCCCCGGTGTGGATCCTCTGGTGGATCTTCAGCCGTTCGTTGGTGCTCAAGCTCTTCCCGCACTCCTCGCATTTGAAAGGCCGCTCCCCCGTGTGGGTCCTGAGGTGGGTGACCAAGTGCTGCTTCTGGATGAAACTCTTCCCGCACTCTATGCAGTTGTAGGGACGCTCGCCGGTGTGGGTCTGCTGATGGCGCTTCAGACTGTCTCGCTTCCGGAAGTTCTTCCCGCACTCTGTGCACTGATAGGCCTTCTCTCCCTCCTCCCTGGTGGGGTCGCCCTGGGCCATGCTGGGGCTGAAGCTGTCCAGGTAGGAGGAGGTGTGGTCGGCTTTGTCCTCCTCCTGGTTCCCCCGGGACTGACTTCGGGAAGACTGACTGCCACCGTAACCCACACCGCCGGAACATGCCGAAGGGGCTTCCAGCGCGGGCAGTGCCGAGGGGTCACCATTGTCCAGCTTCTCGGTGTACTTTGAGATGATCTTTTCTTTGTCATTCACCGGGCCGTCCTCTACAAGACAGAAGGGGGGGGG